GACATAGACTGTCGCGCTTTAGCGCGGCAACATAGACTGTCGCGCTCGAGCGCGACAGTGTCGAGTGCCGCGCAGCGCTTCGGCCAGTCAAGTTATAAACTTGATGTTGGGCTTCTTCGGGTCACTTTTCCCCGCTCTTTTGAGTTCGAAACCTCTTCAAACACCCTATAAAAGGATCTTCTGGCTTTTCCCCTCTCCACCTCTTCATATTTGGGTTATTTCTTGCTCGAACAAGATCTAGGGTTTTGAGCCTTTTCTTCAATTTCCTCATCTTTCGAGTTCGATTCCTTCTATCCTCTGGTAAAACCGAGCCCATCTCTTGTATTTTATGTTTGCTTTGCTATTTAATTCGAGATCTCATCTCTAAACCCTAATTTTCCTTGTTCTTAGGTTGATTTCACCATGTCTCCCAAGAAATCCAGGGTTCCCAAAGGGAAATCTGCAGCACAGGCGTCTGATGAGGTTGAGGCTGCCGCTGCATCGTTCGGAGGTGAGCTTTCAACTTCTTTTCTATCCAAAATTGATGTTTTTTGCTCGTATAACCTCGCTTGCCTCCTTTGAGAGGCATCCGGGAAGAGTTGACATCCCCCATCGAGGGGATTGATACTAAAAAACTACATATCTTGTTCAATCAAGATGTGTACCACGGCCAAAATACAATTTTGGCTCAAACCCTTGTTTTCCGAAACAAGGGGTGCCATTCAGTTACCGCGGCAGCTCGTACTGCCGCGCCTGAACGCGACAGCGTATACTGCCGCGGTAACGCGCGACAACAATAATCGCTGCGGCTACTTAGTGCGGGTTTTCTTATCTGTTAGCCTTTTTGTTCAACTGTTTTCCAACTTTTCTTTGTAGTCCCTTTTCCCTCTGTGGCCTTCTCTGATAGAGAGGACCCAGGCCAGAGTGGTACTCTTCACGCCTCCTTTCGCGGCGACTTTCTGGTTAGAGAGGCCCGCCAATTTAGTGAAGATTGTGATAATAATGTTCCGGAGTTGATTCGCGAGGGAGGTCGCCGCACTCTGCGTGCTTTGCTGACCGACTCGCCCTTAACTCCAACTAGAGATTCTACCGAACCGTTGAAGAAGCCTGACTATCTGTTCGGAGATTCGATAGAAGATCCAGACAATCTTTGCCGTGGCTCTGAAATTTGGTTGAATGAGCATGAAGGTGCTTTTCTATTTCTTCCTCCATTCCCTCGTCAATATTCAATTCTGCAATTAAGGAATCTTGCTGTTTCGAGAAAAATGGCGTGGCATCTAACAGAAGACCATGAGCATATCCATTGTGGATTTATTGGCAAAGATGTCAGTGCTCCTGGCTCCATTGGCAGGCATAATGTCCGTGGCCTTCACCCAGGGATATTTGGACCAGATAGCGGGCCTCAGAACGAACTGATGATAAGGGCCAATACCGTAAAGAATAGGCTCGCTCGGGTTGGCCGAGAACTCCCCATTCCAAAATTTAGATGTTATGGATGGGTTCATTCTCTTCCCGACAAATGGTGGGCTAGGATGACCAAGTATGTACTCAATCGTTGGGATCAAGAGTTAAGGAATTTGGGGTTATATGCTCCGATCCGAGCCAGCATGCATGGTCTTCCAGTCAGCGTAGATCATTTCCTTGCTTTGTTTGAGTCTTATATTCCGGAGGCCAATACATTTCTTACCAAGTATGGGGAGTTAGGGCTTCCGCTCCACGAAATGATGCAAGTATCTGGACTGCCATTGGGGAACACTCCTTATCAAGAATATTTTCCCAACAATCGTCAGCTCATGAAGATGAAGAAGGCTGGCTCTCCTGCTTATGACATACTCTGGGAATTAACTTGTCACTATCAAATAGCGATAGCCAAGATTGAAGTAAAGAGTAAGAAGGCAGCTCGAGTCAGTTTAAAACAGTTCGCTGACTATTTGTTTCAGAATCTCGAGAGCCCGACCGGTGAAGCTGTCTGCGAATCACCGATTCTGACCCCTTCGGACGTTAACAGGCTGATTACGAAGATTAATGCCCAATCTTATAGAACCGAATCATCTGAAGGCGGTTTTCTTAAGGGCACTAAATTCAGCACTTTCTTATGGCAAGCCACCAAGAGAATGAAGCCTGCGACTCTTCTTTCTGGTTATCTGGCCATATGGCTAAAGAAATGTGTAGTGCCGCATCAGTCTTCCGAGGCGCTTCCTCTTGAGGTTCTTCTTCCCGCCGTGCAACTATCCGTTGGAGGTAGGTTATCCTTACTCTCCGCTATGATCGCTGACCTCCATAGCGGTTTGCGTAACCTATCTACCACTTTTACCAAAGTGGGTGCTGAGCCTTCAACTAAAATTCCATTGTCGAGCGTCGAACTGCGATTTTTATTGCCTACAGCCGTACACATATTTAATGGCGTGCCTAGTTCTCCATCGAGCGGACATGATGTCAGCACCTGACGCGTCTGATCCAGAAATCCCTTTGTTGCAGCTCTTAGAAGGATGTAAGTGGTTATATCCTTCCCGACCGTGGATTGACCGGGTGAGGCAATTCAAGAATGCCAAGTGCTGGGAATTTTACAAGTGTTTCCCTCAATTTTCTGGTGCCTATAATGATACACTCGTTGACGAGGAAATGCCTGGAGCTAACAGGACTTCTCTCGATGTGGGTAGCTTCCATTGGCTCATGAACATTCGCCCAGGCTATAATGTTTTTCGTTCGAAGAACCTTTGTAGGATTGAACCTTATTTTCCTTGCCGTTTTGCGCGACAATTTGGTTACGATCAACTGTACGTCGGGAATCCCAACAGATGGTTGATAACCTGCGGGAGCCTCATTAATGGAGTACGAGCCTGGTTCTGGAATGTTGCTGGCTGTACCGGAGCTCAATTTAGTCTGCCTGTTGCTGAACCTGAACTCCACATGACCTTTGTTTATTGCTGGTGGATTTTAGCCGCCAACACTCCTCTTGCGAAGAAGAAGCTTTCCGAGCTAGAATCCGAGGCTGTGGTTCGGAGAATTGTATCTAGAAAAGGAAAGGAACCTGCTACATCTTCCCGCAAAGGAAAACGGGCAGCTGATTCCGAAGAGAGCGACGATTTCGAGACATCCAGTGAAGAGGATGAGAGTAGAGATGAAGCAGAGGCTGATGTCCCTCTGTCTCCCGTGGCTCATAGGACTCGTCGAGCTTCTTCGCCCAAATCACCCAGTGCTCCTTCAAAGGGTATTCGAATGATGGAGAAAAATATTCCCTTATCGTCTTCTAACAAGATGACAGTCAGATGGTCTGCGCTTGAAGAGGAAGAAGAAGAAGAAGAAGAAGAAGATGCCACCCCGCTTGTTAACAGAAAGAGATCCCGATCTTCTGCCTCTTCTGAAGTTCAACGCAGCCCTGTTCGAGGGTCTGAATTGCGTTCCAAGTTTCGCCATGAGAGCTCCGAAGTTCCTCGAGATTCTCGTGCTTCGAAAAGGGTTAAGAAGATGGCTCATCGACAACGTCAACTCCCCTCGTTGCCTGAAGAAGAGTTTACTCAGGATCTTCCGATTGATCAAGGGGGTAAGATCTCATTCTTATTTCTTTTTCATTATTTCATCTTTGAATATAGCGTCTTATTTCTCTCTTTGCCATTATAGCTGAGCTAGAAGAGGAAGGGGAAATCGTGCCCGAGCCTTCTTCTCCGGGTTTAATGGATGTTGATGAGTCCAGCTTCACTCAACAGGTGCAAAAAGCGATGAGTGAAGAACCCCTCAATGTGGACACTGCCCCTCCTCCGGCCACTACATCGACCTCACCAATTGCCGACACAGGTATAGATGTTTTCTCATTTGGGGGGCATTTCCGGAAGATAAGTGAATCAGAACGTGTTCCTCTCCTACTAACTTGTGCGCTTTATCTTCTTTTAGTTAAACTAAAGGAGGTGAGTGCGGATAGTAGCGCTACTGACCCCGCAATTGTTATTGAAGGTAACCTTATTTTGTTTGCTTTGATTCTTTCATATTTCTTGCATATATGTTGACGGATTCTTCTGCTTAATAGACCTTCCTATCAACGAACCGAAAGACATAGAACTTACCCATGATATGGGTATCGGAGATTTCGATGAGCGAGACTTCGATCTTGACATTTCTGAAGATGTACACCAGGAGATCTCCGATATACTATCAACTCCGGTTCCATCTGCTACTACAGGACCAACTACTCGAGTCGATTCAGCTGAAGTAGATGCATCAAAAGGTATACTCTTTTAGACTCCAGTTTTCAACTGTACTTTCATCTTTTATTGTTCTTGAAGGACTGAAATAAGAATTTTAGACGTAGCACCAACCAATGAAGTTGATGCGTCTACCGTCATTGGTGAATGTGATCAACCTGAAGGTCTGGGTTTCTTACTTTTGGCAAGTCCCCCAGCTGAAGTTGAACCACCAGCCACTGCTCCTTCGACTTCCGCTATTGTCGAAGCTGAACCTGTTGTGCCTTCTGCTCCGACTCCAGTGGATCATGAAGTAGGAGGGTCGAAGGCTACAGTGGAAGAGCAACCTCCTGCTACTTCGGCTCAACTTGGTATGTCTCATCTAGTTGTGCTTCGAAGTTAGATTAATACTTGCGGAGTGTTTATTCATCCTTTTCTCATTAACAGAACTTGTTCCTCGAGATCTTGTCGCTCTGGATCCGAAACCATCGGGGGTTTCGGGTGAACAATCGTCTGGTGTAGTGACTCAACCGACGAGCGTTATTCCTGAACAAATCCCGGTTGTTATAGAATCTGCTATGACCTCAACAAGCCAAGGTAACCCGGTTGTGAAACCTTCCAGCGAGTGTATATATTTTTGTGCTTACTCCATTTATTCCCCTTGCAGCTCTTTCTTCATCATTGTCCGAACGTATTCAGACTTTATTGGCAGATGAAGATCCAAACCAAGTTGCCCTCTGCGTTGACGTCCAAAGCTTCGTTCTTTTCTTAAACGCCATGGTTGATCGAATTCTTCTTAAAGGTTCACCATTTGAACTTTTCAGGAAGTCTCTCGACCGCCATGTATCAGGAATTAAAGAACAGGGGTGCACTGAATTGTCTAACTCCATTGAAGCCTATTTGGTCGATCTGAAACATCACATTGAACAGTTGCAGAACTTTCGAGCTAATGGCGCACCTTCTTACATCGCTTCTCAAACGGACCTGAGGCTACAGGCATGGCGTGATTCTCAGAAATCCGTTGAAACTGAACTTCAAGTACTGAAAACTCGCATCCATCAACTCCAGGTGAGCGCTGCCAAGAAGGCACAAATAAAGGTAGACATGTATCGTGACTTGGAGTCGCGTCGGGCAGAGATAGCTCATTTAGAAAAGCAACTTGCCGAAGCTAAGGATGCTTGTGAATTTTTGGAATCTGATCTAACGGAGGTAACTCAAGTTGAAGTGATTACACTCCGGCAACTGAATTTCCAGGACAAGATTTTTGCTGACAAAGAGCAAGAAGCCGCCAAAATCCGAAGCATCGATGAAAGGAAATTTAAAGCAAATCTGATACCTGAGCTCGAGCTGGCTTTTGCGACAAGACTCTCCCAATTAGAAGATGAACTCCGCCATTATTGAAAACTTTTGGTCAACATAATGAACCTTTTTGCTTATTATATTGAATCTTTTTGCTCATTGAGGTTTTATTATGATTACTCATTCTTGTTTAGAATAAATAATCATAATACTTATAGGATTTTTGGCAAATCCTCAGCCATCAACGGATTTGATATGCCTTTACCGATTACCGTTTGAATCGGGCTAGTATGTGAATTATCTAAGTCCGTTTCACATATAACGTTGCGCTAAAAGAATTAAACTCTTTTAGCCTTTGAACTATCATATCGAATATGTAGGCTACATGTGTTAGATGTAGGCTTATCTCTAATAAGGGATAGAGATAACTTCCCCCATGTGTGAACAACATGGATTTTGGAATGAGAGTAAGTTATACTTCCTACACAGGAAAATGAACTCGGAATTGGAGAGAAAAAGAATTGCCTATTCCATTTCTTAATCTCTTGTTTGTTGGTAGAGATAAACCCAGAATCGGAGAGTGGTCTCTTTTTTGTTGGTAGAGATAAACCCGGAATCGGCTGGTCTCTTGTTTGTTGGTAGAGATAAACCCAAAATCGGAGAGGAAGAATTTTATGTTCTATCTCCTGGTCTCTTGTTTGTTGGTAGAGATAAACCCAAAATCGGAGAGGAAGAATTTTATGTTCTATCTCCTGATCTCTTGTTTGTTGGTAGAGATAAACCCAGAATCGGAGAGGAAGAATTTGATATTCTATCTCCTGATCTCTTGTTTGTTGGTAGAGATAAACCCAGAATCGGAGAGGAAGAATTTTATATTCTATCTCCTGGTGAAAAGGAAACTCAAAGTGGAATCTCCACTTAGAGAATCTGGACTGGTTTGGATAATCCTAACTGTCATAACGTTTGATTATTCAATTCAAGAGTGGACCTTTCGTTTGTAAAAATGAATCGAAAGGAGATTTTGATTGTGGTCCTAACTGTAGTAAGGTTTGACCAAGTGGGAGTTTTGAGACGATTCTAACCATAGGAAGGTTTGATCGTTCAATTTGTGGGCCTCTCGTTCATTGAAGGAATCGAGAGGGGATTTTGGTTGTGGTCTTAACTATTTAAGGTTTGACCAAATAAAATGTGGGAATTTAAATAACTTTAATCCATGACGGATTTTGGTGTACTCTTCGTCGATCGATTTGATCGGTGAGGGGTTTTGTGAGGAAAGATTAATTGTGATTAAATCTCATCTCAACAAAAGTAATATGAGGATCTTAATTATTTTTATAACAACTAAGAATAAATTATTCACATGATTAGTCTTCATTTAAAATGATCAACTGATATCGGGTTATCCTGAAATATCCTATACAAGATTCTCTGGGAACTTCCCGTTTTACATAGGTTATCCCGAACGTATTACGGATAATACTTTTTCAGGAACTTCCCATTTATTGGCATCATCAATTTGTTACCATCTTGAGTAACCAGGCGATATGCACCGTTCGAATAGACTGTTTCTATCACAAACGGTCCTTCCCATTTAGGTTCAAATTTGCCTTTCTTCTTAGAAGTGAGAATCATAGGTCTTCGAACGGCGAGAACTAGATCTCCTTCTTTAAAGCTTCGTCGTCGGACCTTTTTATCGAAAGCCCGAGAAATTCTAGCTTGATAAAACTCGATTTGTTGTTGAGCTTCCAAGCGTTTCTCATCTAACATCTCTAATTCCTCGAGACGTTTCTGATGATGTTCTTCCGTCGTCATTCCCGTTACGAGAGCGATACGGAGAGAAGGAATCTGCACTTCCAATGGAAGAACGGCTTCACACCCATACGTTAAAGCATACGGGGTGGCTCCGGTAGGCGTGCGGACGGTCGTACGATAAGCCCAGAGAGCTTCGCCGAGTTTGTCATCCCAATCTCGCTTATTGGTTTTCACCAATTTTGCCAGGATTTTGATGATAGTCTTGTTAAAAGCTTCGGCCAATCCGTTAGCTGTAGGATTATAAGCAGTCGACGAAACGTCTTTAATCCCGAATTTACCGCAGAACTTGATGAATGCGTTGCTCACGAACTGAGGACCGTTGTCGTGCACTATTCGCCTTGGCACACCGTACCGATATATGATATGGTGTTTGATAAATTTGATGACATTGGTCGTCTTTACTTCTCTAAGTGGAACTGCTTCTGCCCATTTCGAGAAATAATCGGTGATTGCCAGAATGAAACGGTCCCCTTTAACCGAAGGTGGAAAAATAGGACCTACTATATCCATTCCCCAAGTTTCAAACGGCCACGATGTCGCCGAAGGATGCAGATATTCAGGGGGTATGTGCATATAATTTGCATGCAATTGACACACTACACATTGTCGTGCGTAATCGACTGCGTCTTTCACCATAGTTGGCCAATAATATCCGATTCTCCTAAGTCGGTCGCAGAGTTTAGGACCGGGCTGATGTGCACCGCATATCCCATTATGTGCCTCTTTGAGTGCTTGTTCCGCTTCTTTACTGGATAGACAACGAAGTAAAAGACCATCATAAGCTCGTCGATACAACGTTTGCGATGTGGCATTGTAATAAAATCTCGGCGCTCTTCGCCGAATCGATTCCCTTTCTCTTACATCTTCAGGTAATATACCATGTAAGACGTAGTCAATAATAGGAAAACGCCAATCTCGAACTTCGGGTTCAACTCCAGTTGAGTATACCTCTTTAGCATTCGAATCGTAGATTGGAACAATAAGCTGATGAGTCCTCACTGTAATTAATTGCTCTGTTTCGGGAGGTTGAGCCAAGGATACTGACAATGCTGCCAATGCATCCGCGTATGTATTTTGGAGACGCGGAACGTACTCGATGAAAAATTCTTCAAACGAGCTTGCTATTTCGATGGCCACCTGGTGGTATGGAATCAGGTCTCGATTTCTGACTTCATACTCTCCTCGTATTTGATTAACCACCAGTTGAGAATCTCCAAAAGCTTCAAGGTATTCGACCCCCAGCTCTTTGGCGAAATTAAGTCCGATTATTAATGCATTGTATTCAGCTACGTTATTAGAGCATGGTTCAGTCAGTGAATATGCTCTAGGCAAGACGTGCTTTTCCGGGGAAACTAAAACGACCCCCACTCCTGAGGAGATTTTAGAACATCCGGGTGCACTTGCCACGTTGGTTGATCGGGAAGCCCCATCGAAGTACAATTGCCACACTTGTTGATGTGAGGTGGTATTAACTTCGTGAGTTTCATCTGGCAGGTCGTCGTACAATTCGACTACATCCTTCGTAGGGTTTTCTGCCAGAAGGTCGCAAATAGCTCGTCCTTTAACAGATTTCTGCTGTTTGAAGTACAAGTCATATTGCGATAAGAGTAAAGCCCATCTGGCCAAACGCCAATTCATGGAAGCCGGTTGGGTCATGAACACTCGGACGGGATTTATGTTGGAAATGACATAAATCGTCTGTCCGACTAAATAATGTCGCATTTTCTGAATCGCGAATACCAAAGCGAGGCATTCCTTCTCAATCATCGGATAACGAGACTCAGCTCCTACCAATGTACGACTCAGATAATACACAGCTTGCTCGTGACCGTTATCGTCGTCTTGTGCAAGTAAGGCACTTAACGAATGGCTCGTCGCTTTGACATAAATCAAAAACGGCTTGCCCGATTTCGGTGCAACGAGAATAGGTGGATTCGCTAGATATTTCTTGATATCTTCGAATGCCTTCTGACATGCTTCATCCCAAATGAACGACACGCCTTTCTTTGCGAGTTTGGAAAACGGTTGACATTTTCCGGACAAGTTCGATATAAACCGACGGATATATGCTAATCGACCTTGCAATCCTCTGAGTTCTTTAAGATTTCTTGGAGGCTGCAGTTCGTTTATCGCCTTCACCTTATCAGGATCAATATGAATACCTTTTGTGGTGACGACGAACCCAAGAAATTTACCGCTCGACATTCCAAGGAAGGATTTAGTCGGGTTCATCTTTAACTGATGAGTTCTCATAAGTTCGAACATTGTCTTCAGATCGTTAATGTGGTCGTTTTTATCACGACTCTTAACGACTAGGTCATCAACGTAGCATTCGACTGTCTTCCTAAGGTGTTCTTGAAAGATCTTCGTCATCGCCCGTTGATACGTAGCACCGGCGTTCTTCAAACCGAAAGGCATAACGGTATAACAAAAGACGCCAAGAGGTGTTCTGAAAGCTGTATGCTTTTCATCATCCGGATGCATCTTGATTTGATTATACCCAGAAAATCCATCCATGAACGACATTCTTTCAAACCCGCATGTGTTGTCGATAATGACGTCCGTAATCGGTAGGGGAAAATCATCCTTGGGGCATGCTGTATTCAGATCTCTGAAGTCAATACAGATTCTGATTTTTCCGTTCTTTTTGAGGACTGGAACGATATTGGCCAACCATTCAGGATGTTGTTCCTCTCTGACAAAACCCGAGTCAATTAGCTTCTTAACTTCAGCTTCTATTGCCTCCATAATTTGCGGACGAAACCGTCTTTGTTGTTGCTTGACAGGTTTAGCATCCGATTTTATGTTAAGGGTATGCATTGCTACATTTGGGTCGAGTCCTGGCATATCTTCGTAGTTCCATGCGAAAACGTCGATATACTCTTTAACGAGGGCAATTAATTCCTCTTTTTCGTCTGGCGGGAGATCACCGCTGATAAATATAGGCTTCGGATTATTTTCGTCACCCATATTAACTTGAACCACTTTATCCTCGGTAGGAGGTTCTCTTTGCTCAAATCGATCACCGTATTGGATATTCATGTAATGCATCCATGGATCTTCCCAAACAGGTAACTGATCGTCTTCTTCTGTTGTGGAAGGGTCAACCGTCGCCATGTTCGACATTAGGGATTTGAATCTTTCACCAATGCTCACGTCAGAATCCCAATTTGAAGTATCGGATGAATGTCCACTCCTGTCTATTAATTGGTTAATAATCTGTTGGCCATAATCGTCTTCGGATGAATCATAACCCAGACCTCTATTACGACTGTAGTAATTATCTGGTT